CGATTCCCAGCAAGTACACCAAGAGATGTAGCCAAACCGGTGGTGAAATCTTTTTTTTATTTTATTTTTTCATCTTTTGGAACTCGAGATGCTTTATGTGTCATTCGTAGGCATGTACAGAGCGAGCGTCGACGGTGAAATGTTGTCTCCTTCTCAAACCATACTACAGGCTCAATGTGCAGAATCGTGAAATACCGGTATTTGAAAGAACAGTGGCGGATGAAAGGACGCCTTGAAATTCATAACTTGAGCCTCCATAGAAGTCTCAGTGCGTCGGGGCTCGGAAAAGGGCTTAACACGGCAGTGTGTGATGATATGGGAGCAAGCCCAATGTAAATTTGAGAAATTGTTTCTAATCTGCTGTGCCGCACGCATCTCCTATAACTGTTTTGATCTTATGGGGGTTCAGATCTAGAAATATAGTTTCGAGATAGTCACACTATTTGATATATTTCTAGCATCCGCACCATATTGAAAACGAAGGTAAGCCACTGTCCACAGTCCTCGGAGCAAACGATAACGGCGAAACACGGCTCCTCAACATTAAGTACGGCACGCCAAATTCAGAGCCTCGAAGACAAATGATTATTCCTAGAAGAATCAAATGAGAAAGCTTGAGTCGCGGTAGCACCTTGAAATATATGGACGGAGAGGCGGAGCTCAGGAAGCAATGCTTCCTTCGTGCATGGATGAAAGGGGGCCCCCCAGCTTGGATGGAGGATCGCGCTTGCAGCGCCTATTTCTCCGCCGGCGCGCGCTTTCATCGCGCTTCGCCTTGCCTGAAGATAGACCGACAACCGGGTCGAAGGGACTCTGCCTGGATTAAAGTGATCCTGTTCAGGCTGCCGACAAAGTCAAGCCTCGAAGGCAGAAGGTCGCTTGATGTCGGGGTCGGACTCGGGGGTTAAGGTTGAGGATCGGGACAGAGACGGAGGGGGGTGCGTTATTGGTGGAGAGTGCGCTTACATAACATTGCCATCAAATTGGGTTTCTGGGATGGGGGAATAAAAATAGCAGTCCAAGCCACACCTTGCGGCGCTTCCCGAGTGGGACGTGGCGAAATGAAGCACGTGGCTTGGGTATAGAGGTGTGGCTCATGCACGGCTTACATAACACTAGCACTACTCCGTCAAAGCGAGCATTCGGGGCATAGGAAGTAACGAACACATCAGCATTGGAATGAGTGAATGGCAGATGGATTATGGATGCCCATACCTCGGTGATGACTGACGAACCACTCGGACAATTCGGCAGATCAGGGCAGCTGCCCGGGAAACAAGTAATAATTCCCCGAGTTGAAATCAGGCATGCCGTCAATATGATTACTCCGTATTCCCGGGCCCGCGGATCCTCTAGCTGCTCCGTATGGTCACCAGCTTTCCAATTGGCTTGTTCGTACTCGTTTTTTCCAAGCTCGTTCCTACTTGTTTGAACTTTGGAATAAACCTTCCAGGCAGTGCTAAGGTAAGCTACGAATGCTGTGCGATATTTCCGGTCATGCGTACCCGTAGATTGATGATTATGTACATTGGATCTTTTGGGTGCTGACCAGGTTCCACTCATGGAAGTCAGATTCGAAGATTCCATCATGTGTCACCTCAATGCCTGCCTTGCCTGCCTTCCAAGCCTTGTTCGACTGACAGCTTCCGTGCGACCTGGCAATTGCCTTTTTCCCATCACGAAGGGGATGGGCAACAAGACGCTGATCGAGGGACGTTCGGTGATTCGACACATTGCAAAACACATTGGCTGCAGCTGTTGAGGCAATTTCACACCACGAAAGGCAAGGGATCTTCATCTCCCCGTGTCCCCCTCATCTTCAAAAAAGTTCAGTCGAAACGCTTTCCTTGATGGCGGTTGAGCGGTACCGGGAAATTTTTATATGGCTGCCTGATTGATGAACGAGATGCGGTTCCACGCGACCATTGGAACAGATGGGGAGTCTGGTTCAGGTACCTTGGACCACAAAGAGTCAATTCCCTCCAAGGCCCAATCATATCCGTCGACAAGGTCACGGCGGGGTGTTGAATACCCAAGATGCAAAAGCGATGATTGGCAGCTGTCGGTGGAGGGGGCTGATCGGCGGACTCAAAATGGAGACCCTTGGCAAGAAGCATGGGCAGCAGTATGTATGTATGGAGACGGGACGGGGGGCGAATGTCACCATCGGGACGCCCGAACTAGTCGGGCCACACGGCCGGACACAACCCTTCTGATTCAAGTATTCTCACTTGGTGTAACTTATCAGTGGTTTGCATTTGTGACTGGCTCGCTTCGTTGTCTTGCGCTTTTTGGTGGACAGTGGGTGTTGTTTAGACACAGCGCGTGCTTGTCAAAGCCGCGGATCACAGATCTGATGTGACACGGAGGGAGGCCGTGAGGGCACGCATGGGGGGGATGGGGGCGAAGATCGACCGTCAATCATCTCAGCCGGCAGCTTTTAGCTGAACTGGAGTTTGAAGATTGTGTAAAAAGGGGTCTCTTGGTCTTATTTTACGTTGGTTTGAGGCGGCCCAGTGGTGGCAACAAAAGTGAACACGAACACCAAATGAAAGAGGCAACATGCTGTGCATGCAGGCATGATGTACGGCAATCTTGGCCAGGCAGCGAGCTGTAAAACTCGCATTATTCAAAGAGAGATGTTGATAGCATTGAGGCCAAGATGATAGTATCGTGGAGTTGCACTTGCATGTACCCCGAGGCCGCAGAAGAAATGATCAAAACGCAGTGGGCCTGGGATTCCCAAATACGTACGTACGTACCTCTACCATGAGCTTATAGGGTGTTTTAAGGGCCTGTACCCTGTCTAGACTCTCCCGCATGCCCTCAATGTTCCGACGGTGCCTTGGATGCCCTTGAGGACGGGGGCTCTAGGCATTGGATAAGTATGATATCCAACATCACCTCTCAGTCAGCGTGAGCAAAAGCCGCAATGGAAGTCCACTAGTCCGTCAGGGAATTCCATGATCTGTAGGTCATGGTGGACGCATCTCACGAGATCTGGCAGCCTGTCTTGGTTAGGGTACCTTACCCATAAAGGCGTGCCAAAGTCTGACATGGAAGTCGGCACGCAAACAAGTCACACAGCTAAAGTAAGTTGTTGATGTCAAGTTCAAAGTTTGGATTCTCAGATTCGGATTCGAGAAAGACGGTGTTGGTACGTATCTTGGAGCATCCCTGTACACGCGGATCTTGTACCCTGTACCTTGATCTCCCCCACGACTTTCACCACCTGGGCAGCGACCAGTGACCACAGCCCACGGTCCATGGTCCACAGACTCCGTCACTCCATCCTCGACGTCGTCCCGCCAGGGTTTCTCATCCTTCGAGCATCCCAAGCTGAGCCAAGCCTCCCTCATCCCTCACCCCATTCCATTCCGCCCTTTTTCTTCCCAACCAGCTAAGCTGCTGCACTACTGCTGTCCGCTTTCCGCTCTTTTATCTCACTGTTCGCGAAGCCGAAGTTCAGCTTCCTAGGTAGCTGGCTGGCTGGCTGGCCTTCGCCCTCGTTCTCGGCATCCTTCCATGGCCGCATCGGGGTCTCCATCCCGCGTCTTGGAATTTCAATTTCCCATCGCGCCAGAAAGCATCGTCATTTCCTCTCAACTCCTCCAAGACGCCAAAGAGGAAGAGGAACTTTGGCTTGCGTCGTCAAATTACATTCGCTTCCTTCGCTCGCGGCATTTCGTCCGAAGCGGGTACCTGCTGCTGCCAGACATGGAAGCGAGGCGCCGAGGGGCTGTACCATGCTTCTCAGTCCGTTCTCACTTCTGGTTGTTCACAGATACTGCTCTGCTCATTGCTCTGCTCCCAGACGGTCGGTGAACTGATGCACATTACATAGCCTATCTATCCGTACCTTACCTCAAGTGATCCCTCACGCTCAAAGAAGAATACTCCGTACTACATCCATACGGCAAGGTCCCCGGCATTCGGGGCCGTGCTGTGCATTAAACGATGAGCTGCCAATGCCATTCTCCGTACTGCTAGTCTAAGATACTTACCCACAGATACGGGTCGCTCTCACACTGGCGTAACTGGGTTTAATTCTGCTGCCTCAGCCGCCCTCCACAGTCTCGGCCTCGCCTCACACCTCGCGCCTCACGCCTCACACTGCACGCCTCTCCTCATCCCGCGCTCTCAAGTCTCACACTCACACTCACACTCACACTCACGCGGCCCCTTTGCCCATCACTCACTGTTCACATCACCTTACACCAAGACCCGATGCAGGTGGCAGCCAACACTCACCCCCTCGGGCCCCTCTACCTTAGCCTCCTTGCCCCATTCCTCGGACACCCTGCGCTGGCTGGCTCTGCTGCTTGCTTAGGTGCTTAGCAGCTTAGGTCCTAGGTTCCTCCTCCACGGCGGGCCTGTACCGGGCGGTGTCTTGCTTGTGTTCCGCCACAAACCTCCCCTCCTCCTTCCAATCCCTTGGGGAGCCACTTCTCGCCCGCGTTCGCCTTTCAAACGCCTCGCCTTAACATCACACACAGACTTTCATTCTAAGCGGCCCTGTTCCTGTATCTTACCTCGCTTTCTATACGCTATACGCTTAGAACAACACTAAAGTAAACATCCGCTTACATCGGAGGGATGAACCGCAGCATCTGATCTGACTACATACATCTCTCATTGTCCATCCATCCGTCCATCCCTCCATCTCACACCAACACAAAATCTTCTGGTCTCATCCAAATCCACACCACCTCATTCTTTGCCCGTTACTGCAGAACATCACACACACACACACTCACACACACATACATCCACATACATCCACACACATCCCTTTGACACTAGCGTCCGAGCCCAAGCTCGGCCCCGTACATACGGATACTGGCACCGCATCATACTGCCATACCTCAGCATTCATCCGACTCTATCTCCGCTTTGTCCTACTTTCACCCTAGCCCAGACCGCCGTCGAGTCTAGGGCATCCACTCTCCAGTCCGCCTCCCGTCCCTCATATCAACCACGGACGTCCCCCCCCTTTCATCATGGGCACCATTTGGAGAACAGAACCTTTACCACCTCATCTGTTTGACGATATGGCGTCGAGTTCAAACCGGAAGCCCCAGATCTTTGTCCACTTCGAATTTGGGGTCTCATTCTCACCTCGACATGCACCCAACCAGCACTCCGTCACATACGCCACTCGTGGTTTCCGTGATCGCGCTCAATTTCCCAGACAAGTTCCACCAACCAATACAAATTATCTAGCAGAGCCCTCACACTCAGTCCATCAACAACAACATCAACCCACACGATCTTCGCCACCCATCCAAGAATACTACGCACCCCAAGCGCAACCATCAATGCCGCCACACTACGAAGTCAGCAGACAATCTCGTCAAGAGAGTCGATCGAGCTCCTCACATGAACGAGGTAGCTCAGCCCCGCCGCCATGGAACGATAGCCCCTGGGATGCCGAACCAGATGCTCTAGGAAGCTCAGCGCTCCCACGCCAACGACCACGGCCCCAGAACACCCCCGATTACTGGAAAGCGTTGCCCGAAGTCCCGTCACGTTTCCGACTTGGCGAGGACGAGATGCCGTGGTCAGCCTCATCCTGGCCAGGCGAGTTCGGCATGCCCGACGAGTCCGAGGTGAACGACTACTCTTCCGAGCTGTCCATGAAGTTCCGCGACGTCTCCCTCACCAACGCCACCCCGGTGGCCCACGAGAGAGGGGACGACGGGCGGAGACATGACCTGGAGGCGCTCTCCGCGGCAATGGTTACCGTCGACAACGGCTTCGAGAACCAGTGGTGGTACCAGGGCGAGCGACAGCAGATCAATGCACCGGGGGTGGTGGCTGGCGACTTACACACGACGACGGCGACCACCGCGGCGGCGGCGCTGGCGAGCACGACGGCGACTGCTGAGGCGGTGGTGCCTCCTCCTCAGACCCCTGTGTACCACCAGCAGCTCGGAAGCTATGACACGAGGGAATCGATGGGGTGGGTAACTGCCCAGGGCGGGGATTCCCACGCGAGCATGATGAGTGCTACGATTTACAACCCGAGTGTCTTGGTATCACCCATGTCGGAGTACGCGAGCCCCCGCCTTCACCGGTCGATGACTACGAGGTCTGAGGAGCTCTTCTTTTACAGCTAAAAAGGATGATTCATTCGAGCATGAAATGATTTAAAGCATGGCGTACAGGTTCATCATAGTAATGGTGGTGTTTTTCTTTTCTTGGATCGCCGGAGATCTAGGGGTACAATTGGGATTCGCCGTGATTTAGTCTGGAGAGACTAGATTATCCTGGTTGAATACGGAGTTTTCCTTTTTAGTTTGAGCTTTCTCAAGGAGGATATATCCGATATTTGCCCAATTTCTTGAGGACAAGAAGGGGCCTTGACTAGAGGGAGAGAAGAAGCCTGGGCTTTCTTTCTCTCTCGATCGAAAAATTAATATTGTTAGCCCCAATTCGCGGTTCCATGGGCACAGTTAATTTACCTTGCCCCTATGACCATGTTCTCCAACCAAGAACAACCGGAACAACCCCCATTCTGAGACTCTTTGTCACAAACTTGAACACGGGAGCACAAACTGCCAAGAGAGATCAAAGGCAATTCAACGCACAAAGCAATACTTATTTTTAGGCATGAAGGCCCCTGGTGAGAAAAGAATAAAACAAGAAAACGAAATTTGTGCCTTGGCCAATGGAGTATACAGCATGCCGGGGTAGTCGGACTTGTAGTCTAGACTCGAGAACGCATGGGTGGGTGTGTTCACGTCACACCAAGAAGAAACAGCAGTCCCTTTCCATCCATGGGCATGGTTTTCATTTTTTCCAATTTGCGGGTTTCCGCACCGGGGTTCCTCCCATATGAGCTTACTAAAAACAGGAACATGGTCTTTGTTGCCTTTTGAGATGTTTTACGCAATTGTGTTCAGGGCAAGACACATATCAACGCCCTTGACGGCGGGGTTCCGCGGTGGGCGCCGCATGATGTCCAGCCCGTCGGTTGTGTCAAGTACTTCAGACACGTTTCTTTTCCCGGGAATATTCCTTCCAAATTAGACATAGACGCAAGAGGCAGGGTATTAATTGGTATTACCGAGTTCAATGTTGATATGGACAAGATTGGGTTTTTTGAGAGGGGGAGATCCGAGTCAGAAGCGGGAAACGGCACGCGGGAGGGACGTCGAGGTTTCATCCCGTTGACACGCGCGCGATTGAGTGGGGAGAGGTTATGGTAGGTGATGGGATGACACCGGTCAGAAGTTATCAACCTGCGGGCAAATGGCCTATTTTTCTTCCCACTTTTATGCTTGCTATTTTTGCGAGTTGCTGGCTACCTCATGTACTGTTTGGTAAGTGCCCGCCGGGGAGTTGTATCGGGGAACCCTGGCCCTCTAGGGGGGACGGATAGCACGGGGTTGATGCTTCACTACATCTTACAGGAGATGGTTGGCGATGACGAAGGGCGAGTGTTTGTCCTGAGTGTGCTGCGACAGGCACAAGCCGTGAAATACTTCCTCTTGATGCCCTCATTCTGATGCTCACTATCTCCCGCCATGTCAGACTGGATAAGACGGTGCTTCTAGCTGCTGCTACTTGGTGAGGTTTTATCCACCATCCACCTTGAGGCAGAAGACTTTCAACGTGAAGAATGTAGCGCGCGGAAAAGCGGTGGCTTTTGGGATTCACGCCCACCTGTCTGCCTCAGTGATCCATGTCTTTCTGTCACCTTGGACGGAGGGCAAGATTTCCTGACCTGCAATGCTGCCTGAGATGCCTCTTAGGGTTCTGTTCTTAGGGCACCGTCCATGTTGGACCAGTCTTCCAGAGCGCGGTTCGTTGATGAAGGAAATGGTCCAGATAGATGGGCTCCATACTATGAACCCCGCGGCATTGTTGGCAATGTACTGGAGACTGACGACCTGATTCTCTTTGAGTGAGCGATGTCTTTTTGGGGGAGAGACGACTATTCCAGGCCCTTGAATGCCACGATTCTTGGTATGTAACGTTTCACTTGGGTTGTAGCATGATATGAACTATCTGCGATGTTTTCTTGCGGGGATGCGTAAGTCTGGTTGGTGGCTGTTGACACCTGACTTGGCTTTAGAAATGTCTCAATCTCTCTTGGTGCGCTTCGAAGGGACCTTTATGCTGGAAGTATGGCTGGCTGTGGGACTTGAACCACAACACTCCACCCTCCTACGGGTACCTCGCCTAGGCACGATCTTGACAGAGTCACTAGAGGAGCATATCACGACGAGGTAGCGCCTCATCAGCCATTTCATGGCAAGGTTTGACCATACACCATGTGTTTCTCTTACCTACAAGCGCCCTCATCTGAGCCGGCCTGCTTTGCATTATGTGGATGGCGTGAAGTACCCGCGGATAGCCTCTGGCGGCATCCGCGGTTCGTGCTAGGAAAAGATGTTTCGTTCTACTTTCATCTGGGTGGCGAGGAGTTCCGTTCCATCCCCGTCCCGGCGGCAATACCAATCCTTTCGTCGAGTATCCACGTAGGAACGGTGTGGGTTGTTACTGAACATGAGATTGCTTACACGGAAGGCTGCAATGTCAGGGTTAGGTGGTATTATGAATGGCACAGGTTTGAGCTGTTCAAAGGCCCCGAGAGAAAAATCCAGTACTAGGATAGGAAGAGAAATAAGGGCTACGTATGACACCATCTCTCTTGATTACGATTTCCTTGTGTGTCCGGTCGGTCTCTGTCGTGATGGGGTGGGCGAGCATTGGAGCCTCTCAAGTTATTCATGATCTAGGCCAACATTTGTGTTTTTAACGTTTCATGCTACTTCAGAGTCGTCTGTTCTAGAGTACTCAGCTTACGCTATGGGGTTGGGTCGAGGAGTAGTGCTGTGAAGGTTTCACTCAAAAGAGAATTAGACCCGTTAAATCAACGGCACATCACCAACACAGAGCGCCTTTGCCGGGGCCGATGGGAGAGGATTCCTCGGCTACAAGCGTACACTGCCGCATTGGGTAATGCTCTTCCAAACGCCTTTGAAATTTCTCAGAGGGCTTTATTTACACCTCTTGACTTTGATTGCCATGTCACCTACCTGGCATTTGTGCTTGAAGAATGAGGGCAACATGCCTGGAAAGAAGCTTGTATCTCCTACCTTACCCTTCTATATTGACCATATCCACCATTGACGGGCTAACCATACCAAGCGAGAGGCGTTCAATCAGGCTCCAGCATTGAAGGACGTCGGAAATGGATGGTGACAAGTGACTTACGGAGTCAGGCAGTACAACGTCAAGCGGCCAAAGAAGATGAATCAAGGTCAAGGATTTCACACCGGCTTCTTATCCTGTATGTGACTTGAGAATCGTTGAGTTATTCTTGGAAAATAAGCCCCCTTTCCGACCTGTGTATGTCGTAAACATCGGGTAAAGGCCTGGTGGCCCCCTGGAAACCCGCATCGACATCTCAAAGCTTTCGAGGGCAGCCTAGTTTTCCTAGAGAGACATGGATTCAACGATTGTGGGGCGGGGTTATAGGGCCTCTATGATGGGCCTATACTATATGCCTTTTCGAGGCTTGAAGACGCGGTCTAGGACTCAAGCTTTCGGGGGCGGACTTTGTGCCAAGTTGCAGAGGGGTGGAAGATCAACGCGGCCGGGCAGCTCCAGTAAGACCAAGCAGCTCCAATGAGTTGGGCGCCAGAGGCCGCGGCGAGATCATGCCCTCGTCAGTATCATGAAGTCCAAGCTATATGACACTTAAAGTAGGAAGATTGGAGTGAGGAAAGTAAGGCAATTTGACGCGTCATACACCCCAATGAAAGAAGTGGTTATTACTCAGCGACAAAGCCACTGGATAACTTCAATAATTGAGCATACGTCTCACCTTGAGAATCAGAACCATGCTTTCTGTATTCAGCAGTTTCAGCGCAAGTACTAAGGGAAAATATTTGAGTGGAAGCCGTTATGGCCACTCAGTCAGTCTCTGCCCGACTTGCATCCCTCATGCAAGTCATGTTTCTCCAGACGCCGGCCGGTGCAACCTCCTTCCGACAATGTCGGCGGCATGTAACCACAGAATCATGGTTTCAATCTCTGGCCTTGATTGCCGAGTTGAGCCTTCACGGAGAGAATGATCAGTCCGGTTTCATCTCCACAGACTCTCAGCCCGGTTTGCCGGCGGGATCAGGCTTCGATGTAGAGAACCCTATCCCCCCACACCGCCTCTTACATGTGGCGTTCAGCTGATATTCAGACAAGTAATGATTTGACGATACATGAAAGTCTCAGCAGAGAAAAGGGGGGTTGGGTGGTTTTGGCAGTCGCGGGTCGGGGAGTGGAGGGTGGAGGGGAAAGCTGCAGGAGAATTAATTCTGCTGCCTGGAGGACGGACGGATATGCCGCGCCGGGGATTGAGGACGACGTGGTGGACGCTAGTGCATGTCGAACGATAGTCGGACCTTCTTCTGAGATCTACTGCATTCAAGACGGGTTACTGATCCTACGGTAAAAGTAATTTGGTTTTGTGGCTTTGAGGGAAAGGGTTCTGCTTGTTTGGTTGGTTCTTGGTGCCGACGATGGTTCGGACATGTGCTTGAGCAAGGTTGATGATCCTGCGAAGATGCGGGAAGGAAGCGGTGATGGGTCTCATTTGGGCTACCCAAAATACTCTTTAGATTTTACAACAATTTGTCCCATAGGTAGGCTCCATATATTCTGCGGGAACGTCGTTGAGGTCTACAACGGACTTCACCTCCGAAGGGGGCTTGGGGGACGGCATTTCTCGTCTAGGGCATTTCTTCTATTCATTATAACCTCGCTACGCCGGCTTTATGGATCCCCGGAGTCAAACTATTTATTCTTACCCGAAAAAGACATGTTCTGTTGTAACCTCTATCGTCTACACCCCCTTCATCCAATAACCTTCTGCATAGCCTCAACATCCATCTCAACCCTCGGCTCCATCTGCATCGGGACGACCATGCCACCCGCAGCCAGCGCACCGCTCGCCGCTGCCGTCGCAACGGCCTTGACCATATTCCCGCAGTCTCCCACGGCGTAAACCCCGGGAACGCTCGTCTCCCCAAAAGGGGCAGCCGTCTTGATATCCCCGTTCTCCGCCGTCTCCAACCCAAGCTGCTCCACAAAGGGACCGTTGGGCCTTGTGAACGGCGCGTGAGCGAGGAAGCCCTCCGTGACTTCTTCTTCTCCTCCGTCTTGCCGCCCACTAAGTGTGAGTGTCACGCTGGTGCTGTGCTCCCCGCTGCTCGTGGCCATGCGCATCGATGTGATTTTCCGTGTGTCAATGGTAAAGGGGTTATTGGCCATGGCACCAATCTCTGAAGCGAGAGTCTCGTTGCCGTGCGTGTAAATCGTCACCTTCTTACCCAGGGGCCGAGCCATGTACGCGATATGCGTCGCCATCTTGACGCTTCCCGTCAATCCGAAAGCGAGAACGCCCACCCTCTCCGCCCCGCGCTCCTCGAAGCCGTGGCAAAAGAGGCAGTGAAAGATGCCGTAGCCCCAACAGTCCGCGTAGCCTGCGATGTCTGGAGAAATATCCGTGACACCGGTAGCCAGGACTAAGCGCCGTCCAAACCACGCCTTGCCATGCTTATCCTCGGCCCTAAAGAGCCCGTCCCTGGCTTTGGTCGTCTTGACGACCTCGACGCCGTCGGCGAAAGTCACGGTCTCGACGTAGCGGGCTTTGAGGTCCTCGCGGGCCTTGGCGCGGAAGATTGGGGGAGGGACGTGGTCGAAGCCGAGGACGTTGTGCATGTTGCTCGCGCGGGCGTTGCGGTAGAGGTTTGAGTCGAAGAGGACTGTGGTGTAGAGCTGGCGGGAGAGGGCCGTTGCTGTGGCGAGGCCTGCTGGGCCTGCGCCTATGATGAGGACGTCGTGGAGGGCTGGGGTGGACATGTTGGATGTGGCGATGTTTATTGTTAGCGGGAGTGCTTTGATGAGGGTTTTGTAGAGGTTGTTCATGTAAGTTGTATTCTGGTTGTGATATGGTGTAAGCTTGGAAAGTTGGGTTCTTGTATTTGATGAGATTGCAATATTCCAAGCAATGGGTGAGGCTCTCTTGTAGTCTTATATGCTCTTCCAAGTGAAGAACGGGCGTGCCGGCGTGAGGTGCGGCATTGCGGGATGTCTCCGAGGCCGTAAAATGTTGCCGAGAAGATCGGATCCGAAGTGGGGCGGCCTGGCCGGGCAAGAGAAATGTCTCCGAGAAAAGGCGCCGAGTGACGAGCGAGCAAGTTTCAGAGCCAGGAGCTTGGCGTGACTCATTCTCGAGGACAATAATTACATGTTGCACATGGATTCTTGCTGTTCCTGAAATTAGTCGCCAAAAGATGGGGTCCCATGACGTGTCTGTCGTCGTGTCGTCGGCCGGTGGTGATAGAACTAGCGCCGCGGAGGAGAGACAGCAAACAATCCCCTCCACTCAGTTTTTCGCTCGAAATCTGATTATTACGATCAGCAAGATTCATGACTTGAATTGTACGCGATTGATTAGTAGGTAGTGAGAAACGGAATGAGGTTCGGTCCCGTGGCATGTCTTGTAAGCACTACTCTCATGATCACCTCCCTTCGAAATGAAGATAGAGATACAATGAGCTCTTGCGTAGGAAGCCAATGTGAAAAAACAAAAATTTAGACAGGGGAGGACGGGCTTCTATCATCAACTCGACAGTGGATTTCACAAGCTGCTGTCTATAGTTTGAGAAGAACACAACATCGAACCCACAACAGCGGAAACGAAAGAAAAACACAGCTTATACCACAGTCGTATGAGTGGGAAACTCTTTGGCTAAGATGAAAGTGCAAAAAGTGCAAAAGAGAGCAGCCAGAGCGGGGAGTCGAACTCATGGGGTCGAGGTCCATCTCCTGGGAGATATGTGGAAATCCCCCGTCCCCAGCTGAGTGTTCCACCGCTGGGCCACAGCGCCCAGGGGAGTTGAACCCCCGTTTGCCTGATAGAGGGGAGAGAGTAGGTTGGTAATAAAGGCTGGCCCTCGTTCGATGGATGGTTGCGACCTTGATGGGTTGAGGGAGTTGATGGGTGAAAGTGAGGCTGTTCGTGAGGATAGAGTTGGGGGCTGGCTTGGTTTTGGTCGAGATGGCGTCGCGGCGGCATGAGTTTCGGTATTAAGGGAAATGGTATTTGCTCCAGAAAGTAGTGAGGATTCGTTTTGTGGGTGCTCGTTGATTTCTCCCGGGCTGTTAAATGGTTTGATTGTGACCGGGAACTTGATCAGGAGAAAGGGGGCCCCAACTTGCTTCGCTTGACATATCAATTGCTAACGAACATGGTCCATTCCTAACAAAGCATCACAAGTCCATTCTTACTCTTTCCTCACTGAGGAAGCGATGACCATCTTCCTATCCAATCCCCCAACCTTACCGGAAGCACTCTCAGGAATATGACTGACCTCTTCATTCTCAACATACGCAAACTTCCCTTCGTCACACCCAGCACCTCGGAACCATCCCCTGAAAAGCTCCTCGCTGAAGACCAGATGCCGATTCGTAGTCTTGAGAACATCGTGTTGGTGGATCTCATGCTCATGAGCTTTACCTCCATGCCGTTCAGATCCTTTCCCTCCCTTCTCATCTCCCTTCTCGAGCATCTTACTCTCCGACCTCATAGCTCTATAATCAACCCCCTCGACAGCAATGACCACCCCGCCGGGCCTCACTCTCTTCGCAAGCAGGCCCAACATCCCCCGCGGATCGTCAAGGTGATGAAGCGCCATGGATATGATAACAACATCAAACTCTCCCTCCGCAGCCAGCTCTCCATCCGAAGCCAAGTCTCCCGCGATAGCGTGAACCTGCTCTGGAGAGTATCCCAGTCGCACCGCGCAGTCGTTGTAGCGCTGTACAATGCCGGGTGCGATGTCGATGCCGAGGATCGAGTCGACGAAGGGGCTGAGGGCCTAAAACCACGCGTTATCCTGTCAGAGGGTACCGTAGCTGGGGGAGGGATATGTAGGACCCAGGAGTACAAGATACTTACCCATGAAGCACCGCCAGAGGCGCAAGCGTAGTCTAAAAGTCGGACGGGGTTCGAGGACGGATTTGTATCGCGGGGCCGGAGGCCTAGGTTCGGGGCCTGGGCGCGGAGGAAGCGGGTGAGCTGTTCGGAGAAGACCTTGATCCAGTCCTGTTCTAGGAAGGTGTCTGCGTTTGCACTGAGAGTCACATTAATGTTAGCTTCATAGCTTGAGAGAAGGGATTCAAGTTTGGAGGAAATCGGGGCTGACAAACTCCCAGAAGACGCGGTTGAGTTCGGCTAGAGAGGCTGTCTTGGACTCGGTCGTGGTCATGATTGCAGCTGTAGTTGTTTGATGGCTTTTTATGTAGTCTAGTCTTGGTGCTTAAAGGATCTATAGTAGTCGCTTTAGCGATTTTGGGCGTCTTTATATAGTGGACACCATTTCGGCTCGCCCAGTTCGTTATCCTGTGGTTGTGTTGTGTAGTTGTGTGGTTGTCTGTGATGCCGGAGAGTATTCGGCAACTTTCCCATCAAGGTGCACGCATAAGCGGCAACATTGCGGTGACATGTCGAAACCACCAAGCTGACCACCGCGAGACGTTTCCCAAAACTATGGAAACGGCATTTTTCTCATCTCGCCTTGTATCACCAAAGTCGTGGTTCCTCACATGACTTGTCCCACAGGCTCAATGGCAGCAGCAGGCCGCCTTCGGCCCTCGCCCATCTCATACATCGCCCACTCGTACACTGCCCACTGAACCGCGTTGACGACGAAGGCGCGCACGCTGCAGACCGTGAGCCCACGGAAGAAGACTCGCATCCCGCCCTCGCGGTAGGCTTCTCTCGCGACCTGCATTGCGCCTGCACGCTTCGCCGGCTGCTGTTGTTGCTGCTGCTGCTGCTGCGATAGCCCTTGTGCCGCAAGCAAAGGTGACCTCTCGGGTGACTGTGCCTGTGCCTGAAACGCCTGCGTCTGGACGCGGGTCTTGATGACGTCGAGCGGGAAGATGCTCAACCACGTCACAATGCCCGCGAGACCACCGCAGAGCAACACCTTGGCGGCCTCCTCTTTCAGATTCGTCTCCTTCACGCCGTCGCCCCCGGCGCCCATCCATCGCGTGGTGATTTCATACGACCAAAAGTAAAACCCGTACCCGACGCTATCCCGCAGCGCAGTCACCACGCCGCCAAAGTAGAGACCCCTGATCCCCTCGGCGCGCCAGACGTCCTTGGTGATGGCCCAGCTCGAGGCGGGCGGGGAGGAGAGCTGGGCGCGGCACTTGATCAGCTCTGTCGGGGTGCTCACGACCCAGGTGGCGAGGCCGCCGACGGCGCCGGCGAGCCAGGTGGTCCAGAGGCTGGACTGGACGTCGAGGGCGCGGTTGAGGGCGGCCTCTGTGCGGTTGTAGGAGACGAAGAGGAGGGCGTTGAGGGCGCCGTAGCCTAGGATCGGGGCGGCGGAGCCGGTGACGAGGGAGGCGGGGGATTCGAAATGGCGGAGGTAGGATGCCGCTGCGGCCGCGGTGGGGCTCGGGAGCGGGAGCGGGGAGGAGGCGGAGGGGAGGGGTGTCGAGGGGGCGGAGGCCGGGCGAGCTTGGAGGCGGACTTTGAGAAGGTCGAGGGGGTTGCCGATGATGATGCCTACGGCGCCGCTTATGTAGCCTGCCCAGAAGTCGGCGGACATGGCGGGCAGCTGGCTGGGACAGGATCGTTCTGTTGCGAGGCGGTAGTCAAGTAGTGATTGTAGCTAGTAGAATGTGTTCGAGTACGTTAGGAATCGCGGTACTGAAGGCGGTTATCAGGGTCGAGGTAGTGATTGACTTTGGCTTGGGCGACGGCGATTCCGGTGCATATGCCGAGGTAGGTGAGCATCCATCCGCCAGAGGCTAGAGCCCAGAAGCGGGCATTCTTGACGGGGTTCGGGTGCGGGCTGCGGACGCGGGAGAGGTACTGGTAGTGTGCGTAGTGGGTGAGGACGGTGCCGCCGAGGATGGAGGGCCAGTTGTCGACGATCCAGAAGATGCGGGCAGAAGGTGGACGGAGCGGGGTGGTCCCGGGGGAGGAAGAGAACGAGGAGGGGGAGGGGTCGGCCATTATGGAGTACTAGGATAATAGATAGATAGAGCGAGAGTGAGGGAGAGCCGTGCTTTGTTTCGTTTGAGACGAGGGACCGAGGGAAGCTTGGTGAGAGAAAGCGGAGAGGTGCCGGGGGACCGGGGGTCTTGGGATCCACCCAGACTAGAGACGTTGCGGGCGAGCGTCTCCGTACGAACTACGAATCGGTGTGGCCGTGGTGGTGGTGGTGTTTGTTGCGGAGCATGTGAAGATGGAGCTGTTATTAGGCGTGGGGGAATCAATGTCGATGACTCGATATGCAGCTCTGAAGTCAATTGAGTTTTATAACAATCCAATTGATGTTGCAAACAGTCTGCGTACCTTGAGACAAGAATGTGCCTGGCGCAAAGAAACGTTGGAATGTGCGGCTTGCGCTGAGGGTGTCGCGTTGAAGATTTCGAGTTGGGGGCCGCAGAAGTTGAGGTGGACGCGTGCGACAGGCCTCCTGCTGTCTGGCCCAATGTCTCACCTGATTTTGGCTGTGCACAGGTACCCTAGAACGCTCCCATTGTATTGTGGGGGTCACCTTGTTACTCACCACTTCGGGGGAATCTCGGTAAGCCTCGGTATAGCACTCACCGAAGTACCCGCGGATTCAACATTGCTCAGTTCTTGATTCGTTGCATAGTAGCTCTTTCTTGGTTCGCACACATTGAGGAGCGAAGATGGATTGCAACTAATAGATGAAAATCACCATAAATCCTACCTAGCAAAGCTGTCACTGGATGCAGACATCTTCCCACAACATATCCTCACCTACAGCCTCCCCGTGCATGATGCCGTGCACGTAAGCTTCCCCAATCAACCGATAACTGAAAGGCCTAGAGATAGAAGAAACCGGCAGCTCTCGAAGCACAAGAGGTGACGGACAGCCGGCCACCACCCAAATCCCATCCCCCTCTTGCACGGATCGGCCTCCAAGTCCCATATGGCTACTATCCGTTAGGAATGGCCGCCTCTCCCAGAGCGTCTCAAAAGCGAGATTCACGTACACCTGACAAGTGTGCTTGAAGCGATCGAACAGGCCTTCAACTTGCTCCTGCTCCTCGCACTCCTTGAGCTGCTTCAGATATCCCATAATCACATCACACGAGGGCACCGTCTTGCTGACATCCGACGCGGCAAGTCTCTTGATGCTGTCTAGACGGCTGATGCGTTCTTCAATGTCGGCGCCTTTCTTCATGGCGCAGTACACCTCCCACACAACGTGATCCGAGATCCACGAATGGAACGCCTTTTGGAGGCTGCCGGGTGCGGGGTGTGTGAACCCATCTCGGTCACCGATTAACGTCCTCCAGAATGCCTCTACTCGGCACTGCCCTGTCGGCTTATAGACGGGGTCGCACTGCAAGAGGAAGTCGGCCCATTGCGTGAAGCTTCCGTTCGTAGCTAGTTCCGAGTATACCTCGCCTACCAACGATACTGTGCCAACGCACAAAGCCTTGACGTGGAGTTGCCTATCATCGACGACACGGTACTTCGTCGGCATGGAACGACAGGCATCAAAGTAAGGGATCTCAGCGGGCCACCTCATCGCCAGAAAGGCAGATGGTCCGTTTGCAGAGAAATCGGGCACCCAGGACGGCAGAGCCTGGATGTTCTTGACCGAGTCGTCGGGAACCGCCGTGAGCAGAGCCAGATTCTTGCATTCTTCCATAATGAAGACCGCCGTGTCGGTGTAGATGCTGACGGGCGTGCAGTGTTTGCGGTAGTTGGCCTCCAGCTCCGTCCTTGTGCGACCACTAAGATCCAAGAGGAGGTTGAGAATGCCCAGTAGACCAAAGACTTGGTCTCTTGGGTCGGTGGCTTCCACCCCGACCGTCAGGCGTAGCATCAAAAACAACAGCGCACCGGCTGTCTTGGTTCTGTTGCTTCCACCCGTGCAGGCAAAGGGACCGACTATGTGGTCCAGCGTGGTGCTGTCCCACATATCGAGTATGTCGTGTCTACACCTCTGGATTGCGACAATGCCCGACGAGTTGCTGCCGATCTTGACGTCCTTGATTGTAGGGTTGTTATCGTACAAGACTTCTGACAATTGCTCGTACAGACGACTTTCGTACAAAAAGTCGGAGCAATACGCCACCGTCTCCCACGGAATAACATCGTTGCCCCAGAGGATACATGCGTCTCTTGACAAGGCGACCTCTTGGACGACCCAAACACGATTAAACCACTTGCGTTCGAAAAAGGCGACGAATGCGTACCATACGTCATCGGGTACATGCAGCAAGCCATATCTGCTCAGAGCATCGTCGTCAAAGAAGGAGTTCTCTTGGTCGAAGCTGAAGTTCCGCTGAGTATTTTCTGCCATTGTGCGAACCAATCGAGATACCTCGGCTGGGTGGTGCTCGTCAGTGACGGAGCCTAGCCATATGTCGACGCGGGTAGCCTTTTTGTAGATGCGATCCATGATGCCAACTTGCATGCTCCTCTCGGTATCATCGGCCTGGTTGATGCTGATGGCGTCGATCCAGTACAGGTCGCAGGAGTTGTGCGCTCTGATCCAGCACAGTGCATCGTGTAGGTTCGGGAAGATGTCAAAACTTTGGCCGTTGAGCATCACTGAGACTGTTACGAGCTGATGTCCGATTTGCCAAGAGGGCTCCTTTTCTGCGAGGGGGGATCCCCATGTGTAAGAGAGGCCACGGTAAGTTGGCAGGTCACCAAGGGCGTGTTCCTCCAGTGAAAGCTGCAACGGTCCATCGTCAGTTGCTCCGCAGCCTAGGATGCGCACAAGACGGATGGTCTCCTTGCCGATACGGTGACTGTATTCGAATTTTGCTATTCCGGACGACATGACTGAAGATTGGGAAGCATCCGATACAGTATTTGCTTTCTCATCATCTTCGCCAGATAGAAAGGTTTATAGGAGAGCTCGAAAGCTTTTGAAGTCACCAAATTGGGCGGAAGCCAAGCAGTCATGGCTTAGTTAGCCACGTATGATCATGGTAGAATCGTCAGCTGCATCGTTAGGACCAAGACTAAAACGACGCCAACTTTGGTTCTCACGCACGGCTTCACCGCGCCGAACTATTGGCCAATCATTGGGGACATTTTGGCAGCGAAAGATGCCACTTGACATTATAATTCTGACGAAGGACCGGGAAGAGATTGACGCGCCAAGTTGTCGCTGAGTGTCCCGTGAAGTTATACCCTTGAACATCGACATGTCGGGGGTGGAGGAGGAGGAGGAAGCTGAGGTGTAAGTGAGCACGGACAATCTAGAACCTTACCTAGTGGGTGGACCTCACAAAAGAAAGCTTTAGATAAGCAGGAGTGGTGAGGTAAGCAGATTAAATAGATGGGCCCTGGTGCCTGGTGCACGTGAAAGCGTGTTTGAGTGGCGACGCGGGTCGAGTCGCGCTTTGCCCCAAATCAACACCGGGCCCTCCGACCAGGAACATTGCTCTTATTCTCTTCCCTCCATCTTCATCCGCCACTTCTCTGCTGCTCTCTGCGAAGCCTTACCCCCGGGATTGCGCATACACTGCACCTGCAGCATTGCTACACCACAAACCGCGGTTCACAATGTACGCAACTCTAGTCAATGCTTCTCCAACTAACACGGCACTGTATTAACCCCTCCATAGGACTGTCGACGTCACCGCCACCCCGATCGCGAACAAGGAGAACGTGCCGTCTAAGCGATGGCCGACTCCCCAGTCGGTCGATAAGTTGTCAAGACCGTTCAAATGCCCTGGTTCAGCAACGAGAACAGTCGCAACCGACAGACCAGCGCGCAAGAAGAGAAGGGTCGATTACAAGGGCGCTGATGGCGAGACTGACGCCGACAAGCCCTACACAAATGCCGATCGCCTGGCTTTAGCGAACCGAGACGCAAACAGATTCCCCGTTTTCCAGGCCAAGGACAAGTCAACAGTATTTCGCAAGGCATTCTCGGTGCCTCTGATCAACAAGAATACCAGTGCATATAACCCGAACCGACCTCCGCCAACCCTTGGCCTGCGCACGGGAGCACAATTCATTGCCAAGCCGTTGCACGACCCCAGTGGCGAGTTTGCCATTGTGCTATACGATCCGACTATCGATGATAAGCCCAAAGAGCCCGAGAAGAAGGAAGACAAGAAGGAAGCCGAGGCCGAGACTAAGATTGACGCGCCTCTCGTCCACAAGAGTCTGGCCGAGATTCTCGGAATCAAGAAGAAGGTCGAAGGGGAGCACCCCCGAGTTCCTGTTGTAATCGACCCACGGTTGGCCAAGGTTCTCAGACCACATCAGGTCGAGGGTGTCAAGTTTATGTACAGATGCGTCACTGGCATGATTGAGGAGAAGGCCAATGGCTGCATCATGGCCGACGAGATGGGTCTCGGAAAGACCTTGCAATGCATCACTTTGCTTTGGACCCTTCTGAAGCAATCCCCGGATGCTGGAAAGAGCACAATCCAGAAAGCCATTGTTGCGTGCCCTTCCAGTTTGGTGCGCAACTGGGCCAACGAATTGGTCAAGTGGCTCGGTGCCGATGCCGTCACACCTTTTGCAATTGACGGAAAGGCGTCCAAGGAAGAGCTCACGCGACAGCTGCGTCAGTGGGCTATTGCGAGCGGCAGATCAGTCACAAGACCAGTCATCATCGTATCTTACGAGACTCTTCGGCTGAACGTTGAGGAGCTGAAGCACACCAAGATCGGCCTTATGCTTTGCGATGAAGGCCATCGTCTCAAGAACGGAGACAGTCAGACTTTCAGCGCACTCAACAATTTGAATGTCACAAGACGAGTCATTCTGTCCGGAACGCCCATTCAGAATGACTTGTCCGAGTACTTCTCCTTGATCAGCTTCGCTAACCCGGATCTCCTGGGTACTCGGCTCGAGTTCCGCAAGAGATTCGAGCTTCCGATTCTTCGCGGGCGTGACGCCGACGCCCTCGAGTCTGAAAGGAAGAAGGGCGACGAGTGTCTGTCCGAGCTCTTGGGCATTGTCAATAAGTTCATCATTCGCCGCACCAACGACATCTT